TCTTCCCTCGCTCCACCCCCCGTCCCGCCCCCCCTCCCCACACACACACACACACACACACACACACACACACACACTCTCAGCTTCCCTGCACAGATTGACCTGTAGCCACTTGTTGGGCTGCTGCCACCCCCTGCCCGACTACTTGCTGGGCCCCCATTTGTGAGACATGTGCCCAGCCCCAAGCAGCTCCTTGCTTGGGCTGGGGGAGACAGCTACACAGTTAATGTTCGAGCCACACACCAGATCATCTTCCCCAGCCAAGACCAAGTCTAGGAGAGTGCTGTGTCTGGTTGGCCCTTGCCCTTCCTGGGTCAGGAAGTGCTCCTTGATCACGGTCAGGAAACTGTATGAATGATCTGACCTAGCCACGTGTTCCTCCCAATCTATATTCGGGTCACTGGACTCACCCATGACTACCAAGTCCCGTTGGCACATGGCCTCTGTCAGTTCTCAAGAGAGCTCCAGGTCCAGCTCCTCCACTTGGTTTAGAGGCCTACCCTTCTGCCTTTTCTCCCTACTCTGACCTGAGACAATTGAGCCAGGCCTCACCTGCGATCCCCTCTTCCCTCTGGCTGCACCAGGAATGCAGGGACCTGGATGCAGCAGCCCAGGAGGCCCCCCTGGCCTGTGTCCCTCTGCTCCTTGGTGCTCCAGCTCCTCCAGGAGGGATGGAGCATTGCTGCTAGCTAATGGAAACCCAAAGCCCTTGACCATGTCACTGCATGTGACTGGACCATAACAGGAATGACTGTTTCCCATGGCCCTGAGGGCTGAGCGTCAGGCCCTGCCGGGTGGAGGTGCAGCTCGGACTCCGCACTGTAGGACTTCCCGTCCGGTGCCCGAGTAGGGGCGGGGGTGTGGATCCTGTGGAGGTCTGAGCTCTCCAGGGGCCTGGGCTCCTTCTCTCCCGCTCCCTTTTGCAGCCAGGTCACTGCCAGACGCCCAAGGTAAAACCCCAAGATCAGGCACCGCAGGGTCTCTGGCCGGCTGCCCAGGGACCAGGGCCTGCGGGTGGGAGACCTCCCCCAGGTCCAGGGGGCGCGGACGGCAGGCTGCAACAGGTGGGAGCGGCATGTCAGTAAGCGGACCCCGTTCCCAGACACCAGACACGTGCCCACTCACTCACTGCCCCAGCAGGCCTGAGTCCAGCTCCTGGAGGCCTCTGCCATTGGCTCCCTTCACACATGCAGAGCAATACCAGGTGCCTCCTCTTGCAGACAGCCTCCAGGGGAGCCCAGTGCAAGGGACCGGGCATTGCCATGGGGTCACAATCCCTCTAAGTTGGGCTGGGTTATAGGTGGGTCAGCTCCTCTTTGGACCCACGACGAACAGAACCAGAGCGGGGTCCATGACCAGGCCCCTTATCCTGCAACTGCCACCGGGCCTGTCCCGTCCCAGCACTTACTGATGCTCCTCTCAATGGGGGCCTGCAGGGCGAGGTGGTCCACACGGCAGATGTACTCTTCCCCCTGGTCTCTGGACATCCAGCAGGTGAGTCCCGTCTGCTGCTGGAAGCTCTTCCCATCCCGTGCGAGGACGGCCATGCCGGGCTCCACTCTGCACTCAGCGGAGTCCTCCAGGATTGCAGCAGTGTCCTCCCCCTTGCCCCTCCGCAGCCAGGTCACACTCAGCTCCCCCGGGAAATGCCCCGCGATGCGGCAGCTAAGGGTGACTCCCATCCCTGTGGCCATGGACTCAGGCTGGGTGATTTCGGACACGTCCGGGGGCCGCAGGAGACCTGGGGAAGGGAATATCCAGAGGCAGGGACAGGCCCCGTCAGGGGAGCCACGGCCTGGCAGGGGCTGCTCCCGGCCCCTCACACACCACACAGACCCAACACCCCTGCAGCGGGGCTGGGACCCCAGGACACGGCCCCTCCTCACCCGCGGCCCTCAGGCTCAGCTCTCTCTCGCTCGGGGGCTCTCCGGGGCCGTGCTGGACGCGCACTCGCACTCGCAGCTCCGGCCGGGTCAGGCTCCAGGTGGGCACTCTCCAGATGCTCGTCGCAGTGAATGTGCCGTCCGCATTGTTGTCTATCTGCGCTGGGTCTTCCCCCCAGCTCCAGATCCCATCGCAGCCCCACTGAATTGGGGGCACCTCCCTGGGGTAGAAGTTGTGGAGCTGGACAGCAAATGGCACCTTGTCCCGGGGATCCCACTCTGGCAACACCTGGATCTCCGACACCTGCGGCCGGGCTGGGGAGACAACAGAACTGTTAGCTAGAGGACTGCTGAGACAACATTTTGGGGAGATGGGTATTTGGGCCTCATAGGCATCTGGCTGGTGTGGGGAGGTGCTGTGAGGTCTGGGTGAGGCCTTCTACCCCGGCTCACTTGGCACTTCCAATGCCCTAGCAGGTGCAGGAGCATGTTGGGTGGGGGCGTGTATGGCAGGGTGTGGGAGGGGTGTGGAGTTGCTGCAAGGGGATGTGGCTGTGTGGGGAGGCATAGCATATGTTTGCGGCTGCGTGCATAGGTGCGGGGTTGTGGGGACAGAGCGTGGGGTTTGTGGGGTGTGGGGGTGTGGGTTCCCCCTACACATTCCTCCCATGGTGAACTGTAATGTCCCTTTTGAGCCAGGAGGTCTTGTCCATCCTCCTGCTACCTTTCCTTTTTGCAGGAATGGTTTTCTCTTATGCTCTGAGGATCGTATCTTTGAGCAACGACCGCTCTT